CCCAGGAAACTCGCGTCGCAAGCCGCCGCGAGCCTCCGGCCAATCAGGGCAGCCGGCCCGAGCACGCGCAGACGACAGCCAATCGGAGCGTCCGGAGTGCCGCGGCGCCGAGGTGCGCGCCGAATGGCGCTGCCGTGCAGAAACGCTGGCGGAGAAGACAGGTTCCGGGGCGGCCCGAGCCGACCCCCGTGAGGGGCGCGGCCGCCGGGGTTCAGCCACAGTGGCTGCGCAGCGCTGCGAAAGGGCGATGAAAGTAGCGCGAGTCACACCTCGGAAATGTGCGTTTGCTCCCCTGTTAGCTGACCGGGGAAGGCTCACCCCGCTGCAGCCGCGGGGCGGCGATGAGCGGACGCCCGGACCCGGCGGGGCCCGCTGCCCAGGGGCCACCCCCGGCGGCCGCGCTTGCCGCGTGCCGAGGCAGCTTCCCGGCGGAGCCTGGCCCTGCACGCCGGGGCCCGGCCACCTCCCGTATGAAACGGCGCTGGGCATCCGCGCGGACACTCCCTCCCCTCCCTCAGGCCCGGGCGCCGCTGTCAAGGCGACAGGCCCAGCGGGGTCACCGGCTATCGCTGTGCGGGGCAGCGGGTCGTCCTGCAGCAAGCGGGCCGGTGACCGCCAGGGAGCGGCCGCGGGCGAGGAGCAGACGCGCGGGGCCGGCACGGGCAAAGCTGTGTCTAGCCGAGGGCTCCGGGGCACGCGCGAGCTGACCGGTCTGCCCAGGGGCCCAGGCTGAGGGGCGGCCAGGCCTGGCAGCGCCGGCAGCAGAGGCCCCTTCAGAGCTGCGCTGCGGGGTTGGCGCCTTCGTAAAACAAACGGCCTCAGCGGCGGCTCCAGCCAGACTTCCACTGCCCCCCCCCCCCCACCCCCCCGCCGACGTCCGCCTGTCCACCCCCCACACACCGCTCTGCCACTGAGCTCCGAGAGCGGCATGCACCGGTGCGGCTCCAGCCTGGGAAGGAGAACCGCGCGGCCTCCGTGGTCTGGACACGCGCGCACAGAGGCCCTGGTCCCGGCCCTTAGTTGTTTGGGAGATAACGAGTAAACGTGTGGGTTTACTACCCGTGCAGAAGAGGAAGCAGGAAAGACGCCCTGGGCGCTAGGAAGGAGACTTCACTTCCAAATCTTGAGTATCCAAATTTAAGCCCCATAATTACATACATTTCAGACATTCCACAATTTACCACCTAAATTATTATGCGATTTTTATCTGTAAAAGGGGAAACTGACCTTGCAGACATTTTAAGACTTGACGAACTTCCTTTCCCCCTCCCTTTCAGTAAGAAGGCTACTTTGGCTCTCACAGCTCTGGCAGGAGTTTTTTGAATAGTGGGTAGGCAGAGAGTAAAGGTTGGCAAAAGTTACTCGTAGACAAGTATGCTTCTTGTCACCCTAGACAGAAACAATTTACTGAGTCTAAAGAGAAAAGCAGTTTTTTCTTTTACAAAATCCTAAATCATTTGAGCCTAAATTAGTAAAAAGTAAAACGAAAGCTTTCAGGTCGTTCAATAGCTTTGATCACCTGCCAGGTGCCAGACATTGCTGTAATCGCGGAGATACAGCATACAAAATAAGGACTTGACCTCGTGGAGTAAGAAAAGGTGTAGGATACTTAGTGCCAAATCCCACTGACGAAAGGTCTCCAGGAGACTAAGAACCACTTTTAAAAGACACATGGTGGCACAGCGGGTTATAGTTCAGCACTATGAGGCTGTCACGGTCACTGCAGCACGAGTTCAATCCCCAGCCAGGGAGTGACCCACATGGCACGGCAGACCTCTCCTGTCTCCCCACTACTCCCCTCAGCGGTATACTTCATGGATCTTCCTGTTCTGCTCCCTACTCTGTCTCTGGTGAATCCTCTCACCCCTCTCACCTCTGGCCTTTACCCCAATTCTGTGTGTATAAATAAATCTTTAAAAAAAAAAAAAGACACATGGTTGACCTTTTATTGTTTTTAAGAGATTTTTTATTTATGCATAAATAACTGGGGTGCATGCCAGAGGTGTGGGGGCATTAGGATTCACCAGACAGTGGGGGGCAGACAGGTGGATCCCCTGAAACACCGCTGAGCAGGGAAACAAGTCTGCTGTGCCCTGTGGTCATTCCCTGGCTGGGCCCGGGCTGCCCTTGTGCTGCAGTGCTGGGACAGCTCCATAGCTGAGACCTTACCCCTTGCACCACCAGGGGGCCCAGGCAGTCTTTTGTGTTCAGTTGGCCTCATGTTCCTTTGTGTCATTTGTGTCATAACCTACATCAGCACTTCTTTTCACGGCTGAGAAATGCTCCGTCGTGTGGCTACGGTGCTTAGCGCGGAGCTGTTCACCTGTCAGTGGTGATCGGGGTTTCTCCACCTTCCAGCCCTCGGGAGTCAAGCTGACTGTGAACGTCCATGCTCATGTTTTGCAAGACAGTTGCTCTCAGCTTTCCTGAGCACGTGCTTAGGAATGGTACTCCTGGGTCACATGGTAATTCTATGTTTAGCTTCTTGAGGAACTGCCAGACTCTTTCCAGATTAGCCCATGGGCACATGCCCCTGCCCCCAGCACTGAGGGAGGGTGGCCTCTGCATTTTAATGAGGATCAGAAATCCACTTTGCTTGTCATGAATCACAATCAGCAGTGTTATAATTATGAAAGAACTGAGCAATTAGCACAGGTGTTTACATTCTTCTGAGCAATGGGTGCTTATGTCATGATTTCATGATTTAGCGTTTTGCATATCCCAAGCAGAGCTGTGGCAAGCGGAACCCACCCTCTCCTTTGCTGCGAAACGGGAGGTTGCCAGCAGCTCCGGCCTGGCTCCTCAGTGCTGCTTCAACGACAGATGGGAGAGCCAGCAGTGTCACAGAAGGCACGCACTCCTCGGCTGAGATCCAGAACCTCTGAAAATGACAACCCCCAAATGTGGCTGTCATGCATTTCTAAGACATCAGTTCAGGGAAATAGACAATTGCTCTGCCTGCTCTGAACCAAGAGAATAGAATGCAGGAGTCAGCTCTCCGGTGTATAAGCATCAGCCCCATCTTTTGATCATCCTCAAAACCCAGCGGAGAGGGAAAACATACTACCACTGAATAAAAGCAGCCCTGACTTTGACAGGGTGGTGTAGAGTCTCTGGGCTCAATCAATACCAGAAGTTCTGTGGAATGAACCGAGCTGCTAG